GCAAAATAGTGAATTAACATTCACAATCTTAAATGTTTATATTTTTACAAGACTGTGAACTGTGAAGTACTGAAATTGACAGTTTTGCTGTGTTCATGTTTTTTTTTTGGTAAACGGGGGCTCGATTACACACTGAAGCCACTGACCCCCTAAACAATATGACAATCAGTTTGCCGCAGTAAGAACCTTTCTTTTACGATCTATGGTTAGAACACAGCATGAAGTTTTACAAACTCGTGTACAGTAGGTGGCGGTATGCACCTAAAAGTTGGTTGCAATCAAACAATAATCAGAGAAGAGAAGAAGATTGCCGAAGTAGAAGTTACTTAGCCCACAGTTTGCTTTGTAGCAAAGTCATCGACTACCGTCGTATAAGTAAGTATATGTTTCCTTTTTTTGTAACGCAATATTATGTTTACATTGGTTTTATTTTATCTTTTTAAAATATGCTAACTTAGTCATCTTTGTTCTTGCAGTACGCTGCTAGTCCTGTTGCTAGAGTGGCTAACGTTCGCAGCTAACACATGCTGTTTTGCCTTTTGTTAGGACACGTTGCTAGTGGTAGAAATGTAATTAGCTACTTACAGTAGTTAGCCAAAGCTTTACATTAGATGGACTAAGTTTAACTTGTATATAGGTTGTGTAAATTATTTTGTTTGTCCGAACTAGTATTTTGCTAGTTCAGTTCACAATGTAGCTAGCACGCTATAGTGGTTAATATTGGTTCTCTTTGATCACTGCAGCAAGCTTTATGGAAAAGAACGTGACATACAACATGCCTGGATTGGTTTGGTGCACCTCCTCAGACAAGAAGCCAAAAAGTATGGTGTCCTTGATAACATATCATGCTTCCCATTTGAAAACTTCCTTGGCATGGGTGTCTTAATAAACAATAGACAGTCATCGCTCAGTTATTGGCCCTTGGACTCCCCTGTCACCTCTTGTACAGCATGAGGTTTTCTGCTATGAAGGTATAGTCTAGGCATATGTCTTAGTGTCCATCGTTTTAACAGTATTGAAAACAGTGCCTTTAGATGTATTTATTTATTTTTGCAGATTTACAGAGACTCCAGAACGAAAAACAAACCCTAAGGGAAAGCAATGCACCAGCAGGTGAGAATATATGCACTCTTTCTTAAATGTAACTTTTTTGTGTGTGATGTAGGTCCAAAATTACCATATGCCTTTCATTTTGTCGCGTCAGATGACAGCGGCTCACTTCAAGAGCAGGTGAAGCAAGTTGGGATAATGTTGAAGATGTTTGCTCACACTGGGCAATCAGGTACAACTTGCAAACAACTTAAGCATTGGTTGTTGGTTTAATTCCCAATGGGGCCCATTAGTAGTTGAGGGACCCGGACTGACTACTTTATTCTTTTATTATGGGAACCCCTGTAGGTGCAGACGTCTTGGAGAGTTTGGCGATGTTGTTCGCAGCATGGACAACAAAATGGACTATGCTGCATCATTTTGAGTTATCCCTACCAGGGGATCTGTTACTCCCACTAGACACCCAGGAAGATTTGGCGTTACTTGACAACAGTATGAGGCAGGATAAAGAGCTCCATGTACAATTTGTAAGTGTTCTGATTTCGTTTATATCGCAATAGTGAAAAAAAAGTGTTGTTTTTTTTCTTTCTAAAAAGTAAAATTAAGATTGTACACAGCATATTCTACAGTATGAATGCACACCCTGTTACATTTTAAACTTATGAGAAGCTTCAGATAAATGTAATTTGTTACACTTTTTTTTACAGGGACCTAAAGACCGTGTGGCGAATGCTTCAGAGTATCTTCTCTAATCACCTTTCCATCAATATAACCTGGTCTGTTGTAGGTGATAAAGCATGTTTTAGAGACATGTTCCTGAAGACCATTGTTCAAAGTAAGTTGGATATTTTTTTTTTATATTTAAGTAGATGTCTATGACTTTATGCCTTTCAAATGGAATGACAGATCTTTATTTTCTACAGGAGCCATCCGAAAGAACCCGGCGACCCAGGATGCCACTGATGAGGCGATCCAGGTTAACGTTACACATCACCTGAAAGGAGCATCTGACCTTGCAGATGGAAAAAGGCACCGCTGAGTGGGACCCACAGCCGACCCCTTAAACCTAGGCTGACTACTGACACCCCAGCATCACTTGACAACTGGAACCCTTTCTTTATCCTGCAGACAGTAACTTCAAGACATCTAAAAAAGGCTTGTTACAGTGCTTAACTCTTCTATTTACATACAGCTTGTAAATCCTAGAATATACATCTAATATTTGATTTCTGCACATTATCTGGTATCAAATATTCCACTTGCCGTGACTTTAGTATTGGCTTATTTCATTTCGTCAGTGCTTAACGATTCTACATGCTCTATGCACGAACCCTGCTGACGTATGTCCAAAAGAATCTCAGCCAGCATCTTTACTTCCACAAGCGCATTCTGCAGGCAATGTATATAGCGGCAAAACTTTAACAAAATTCATTTTCTTTCACTTTTCAATTCCTCACAGTGTTGTTAACATCATTATCGTTAACCGCAAGAATTTTTCGTAAACAGTGAGTGTAACTTACCACTATCTCCACCTAATGCAAAACCGGCTTCTGACGCAGCACCGGATGTAACTGGGCGTCCTGAGACAAAGCCGGAAGTGATCGTGCATAGAGCCTATTATAGTTTGCAAATCCCGTTTCATGCCTGATATTTGATATTGCACATTAACTAGTACCAAAAATTCTACTTTCATTCCATCAGTGTGCTTAACTGTTATTCTATTAAAAATAGCTTGGAATACTATTTCATACCTCTGATACTTGAAATTGCACATTACCTGGTACCAAATATTCTACTTCATTCTGTCACAGTGCTTAACTGTTATTCTATTGTTAAATATAGCTTGTAAATCCTTGTGCCACAGGTCAGCATTGCAGTTATAATGGTATATTCTCAAATTATTTGGTGTCCTTCACTTTCTTTGGTACCAAATATCCTCATTACTTGTGTTTACTGGTAATTATTTTCATCCAGAGCTGAACTCTTTATGTTATTAGCAAGTATTGTAAGTGTTATACAGTGTTATATAGTGTTATATATACAAATAGTGTTTTTTTAACTAAAAATGTATTGGAAAGCTGTGTGTGTTTGTATTTTTCTGTTATATTTCAGCGATCTGACATTGTTTAATGACAGTTACTGTACTTTCAAATGTGGAAATAAAATGTCAAATGAAAATTTGTCTGGTTTGAGCAATCATTATTCTTGATAAACTGCATGCTGTAAATATTAAATTAAATAAATAAATATATAGTGCAATAAGCGGCGGGCCGCGGTCAGCTCGCTCGAAAAGAGCGTTTGCCTCCGACGGGCCGCTGAAGGTCCGCCTTCGGTATAATAGGCGGCGGAACGGCGGCTGGCCGGCGGGCCGTCCGCGGAACGAAGGCGGTAGGAAGGCGGCAGACGCTTTTAAAAAGCGGCTGCCGCCGGCGGTCCGCCGTCAAACGTGTTTGCGATTTCGCCTTTCTGACGCTTCTACTGCCTCCGGAGCGCCGCCGGCGGCCCGCCGACTCATTGCTATCTGGGGTGTGTATGGTAAGGCACCGCAAATTACTCAGGCCGCGCCTCCATCTCGTGTCGCGCGCTAATTAATGTGTACGAAGTCCATGACAAAATGAAGCGAAACTATCCTTCTCGTCACGAAAAGAGGAAGAAGAAAAACATGAGAGTGAATTGCGGGAACAGCAGTCAGGTAAACTTGTGTTCTCTCCTCTCTAGTTTGATGTCAGCAAAGTTTGAAGGTTTTTGGTCTTGCTAACCTATCTGGGTAGGCAGTGCATCTCTTGCATCACTTTTTTGCCTGACAAAAGTGAGAGTAAAATACCATTATTTATTACGGTTTTTTTTTATAAACGACAAAGTGCAACAACAGTGTTTGTTTACTACAGCTCGGAAAACATAACCGCGTCGCGTGTGTTGCGTTCATATGCGCGTGCACGAAATGAAACTCGCATTTTTCAAGCAGAAATGTGGAGACCAGAAATACTGTACAATACGTGAATGATGGCACTCCCAATCAAAGTACACATTATAAAGACACTGATTATAGTCTCAGTGTAGTTAAAAACTCTAAACAACTGCACTAATTATGCAAGATAGAAACCAATGTATTGGCAATTTGACATTGATTGACTATTGATTTATAGGCTATATTGAATTTAAAATGATGATTAGCTGGACATTCTGGTCAATATGAATGCAAATCCCTCAGTAAATAACAATAAATCAAGATTTGCTTCAACATGCATAAAAAAATAAATAAATAAAAATCATAGGCTACTGATTCCAAAAAAATACCCAGGCTGTAGAGTGAATCAAAATTAATCCCAAAAGCCAAAGTTCAGGGTTGTACTTTATTATTTTCTTCTTATTTATGTTTACGTTAATATTCACTTGTTATCTTAACATTCTATAAAAATGCTTTATTCAGTAAATATTATTTGTTTGAACCTCATTCTGTTCTATATTGTTGTACTTATTCTTTGACTGTTTTGTTTAAAGGAGGGATGATTGTTATTGGGCGGTATTGAGTGGCAATGGCAAATGGTTTACATGGCTCACGGCATCACAGATCAGGTAGAGGGCCCCATAGCAGAATTTTGCTTAGGGCCCCAGGGGGAGGTCAGGATTGGCAAAAAAGGATTGTATTTTTTCCCGAAATCTAAGCGTTTTTTATTTTTTCGAGTTTTTCCATTCAATCCAGATTATTTCTTTTCAAATAAATAAATAAATAATAATAATAAAAAAAACAATAAACAACAATATGAGGAACTCTTTTGCTCATTTGTCTCATCTCTGACATTTTGCAATCTTTATAAAAAATAATAAGACCATAAGATGAGGCATTGCGTTTGGACATAAACACGGCCATAAGGCAATTTGGAAGGTGACAAATTCAACTGAATATATTCCTTCATATAGCCCGTGAGGGGGGGGGGGGTGGCCCTTATTCATCTTTATAAAGACCCTTTATAAAGACCCTTATTCATCTTTTTTCAGGTCAGAGCAACTGCCCCTCAGAATTCCTGTGCACGTCCCTGATAATATGTAAATAATAATGGTGTTAGATGTTAGACCAGAGGTCAAATGGAGTGGAAATGTCCGCATTTTACAGCGCCTTCAAACAAAACCAAAAATACATACATACAAGTCTGCAGAAAGCCAGACTTGTATCAGACTGCTGGTTGTCAGAACAGTCGTGACTCGTGTAGTTATGATCCTTTTTCACCAACAGAGGGGATGTGCGAGCTACAGTGATTACTTGGTTGAGCTCCTTTACTTTACAGTTTTTCTCAATCGATTTGGTACATTTCTCCAAACTCAGGTCACTGCTCTCAAAACATTTAACACAGTGATCTGTACACTTCGTAATGGTCCTAAACAGATAGTAAATTCTCCTTCATTTCATACAAATTACAAATCAAAAGCATAATTTTCTCAAAACACTGTGCACAAAATTCCCTAATGATATCACAGCAGTTCATACACCCAACCGAATCTTTAATATATCAGGAAAAACTTTTGCAACTTTTTCATTGGTCTTCACAAAGATCACAAACATTTTTGTATCATTTTCAAAACTCAACAAACAAAACTCTATGAATTGTAAAATAGTCAGTTTATGTCCTCAATTAACCCCGAATTGATATCTGACGAGTTACTGTAATAATCCCCTCAACACAGAAAAAGCCAATTTCCCAATTGTTCACACAGCTGTCTTAATTATAACAACTACAAAAGGGGAAGAGAAGAAGAACAAACATGAATGATGAGAAAATACAATAAAAAGAAGGGAATGAGCAGTGGAAAAGGAAGAGGTGTAAGAGCGAGAGGTGGTGGACAAGGTAGAGGGAAAAGAAGAGGAAGAGGAGATGGAGAAGGAGCTGAGGATGTAGGAGAAAGAAGAGCTGAGGATGTATGAGAAAGAAAAAGAAGAGCTGAGGATGTCGGAGAAAGAAGAGCTGAGGATGTAGGAGAAAGAAAAGCTGAGGATGTAAGAGAAAGAAAAAGAAGAGCTGAGGATGTCGTAGAAAGAGAAAGAAGGGCTGAGGATGTAGGAAGAGGAGAAGAGGGAGAAATGTGATCGGCCATCATGCTACAGTCAATGTTCCTGGACAACGAGGAGGCAACATCACTCTCTGTGCCACAATTTCTACAACTGGTGTTATGGCACACAATGCTCTCTTTTGACCATTCAACACAGCAAGGCTCCTACATTTTTAAAATCTCCTTAATGAAATCCTCTTTCCGCAGGGTGATCAGGAGCAAATGGTGTGGTGTGAATCAAATTGAGGAAATCTTACCAAAAAGAATACAACTAAGTCTTCTTCAAGTGATGGAAGAGGCCTGTGGAGATATTGGGGCACAAACGTGTCTAGGATAGCTACTGCATTCAAGGCTTTTTTTCCTGCGATGCATGACTCGCAGGAAAAAAAAAAAAAACATTTGCTGTGATGTTGATGAAATTCTCTGGCCAGATGTAATTGAGAGGCATGATAAATAAATTGATTCAATGAATGCATTTTTTTAAACCTATGTATTTATTTGCATAATTTATTTTATTTATTTATTTATTTTGTGGGGTGACAACTCATTGTAATACACATGGACTCATCATTAAAGAACTTAATGAAAAACATGTATTTCCATTTATTTCTGTGTGTATCTTCAGCTGAATTTGTTATCAAATCAACAGAGAACACACTTTTAGTTTTGATGTTAATATTGATTTTTAATAAATGCATTACTAGAATAAAATGCTGTGTTTCATTGTGCAGCGAATACTTAGCTGTTTCGCCAACATAAGAGTGTGTTTAGTTTGCTGTGCTAACTGTTTTGAGAGCAGTTACCTGAGTTTGGAGAAATGTACCAAATCGATTGAGAAAAACTGTAACATGAAGACATAGTAAAACATTCATAACTAGCTATAACGGACATACAAAAACATAACACAGCTAAAAGAATTCAGTTTACAAAACAGGAATATATAGACCCACATCATCACACACCTTCCACCACACCTAGAAATTGGCATGGTTTTACTTAAGTTAGCCTAATAGCTGGTATGATTTGCATTAAAAGATGATCTTATGGAAAGTACCCCATGCCAATCTCTAGGTGTGGTGGAAGGTGTGTGATGAT